AAAGTTGTATAATCTTATTTTCGGCAATTAAACATATACTATAGGTGTTACGTCATTAACAAAATACTCGGAAATTTCAAGTATCAAAGAAAATCTACGTCATAGTACAAGGGTGTGAAAAAAAAGGGAAACAAGAAACTATGGGAAATATGAAAATAAGTTTTCTCATTGGTCAAAAACAGATAAACAAGTGATAAAGACAACTTATTATAATATTAGAAGTGTTAGGTTCATTGCTCTAAAAAAAAGAGTTAAAGTATACACTCAACATTTAGGGTAATCTTGAAATACACTGCTGATAACGTAACCCGATCAATACTGACTAAGTATTTAGGAATAAAACAGTAAGCCAAATTAATGCTTGAAGATGTGTTTATCGAGCCCGGTTTCTGTGCTGAGATTACTATCTGCTCCTAACTATCAAATAAACTAGCGGATAAACTTTGAAGTATATTAAGGATTTTGCAGTGAATCACTGCTTATGAATAAGGCGATTGGCCCTCAAATGTCCCGGTACGGCCGAGAGTTGGGAGAGTCTGCTCTCACTCTCCAAATGCTCTCACATGACCACGCATATATAGCCTCTGTCAGGGAAGTCCTACTCACTGCCTTCTCTTGGCATTACTGTTATTTATGAAATTGAGAGGACGATAAGTGAATGTTCTGAAGAAACAAATGGCTTATGAACCAATCGTTGGTCACCGGCTAATATGGGACTGCATCTCTTTACGGTGCTTCACTTCCTTGTGGATCTGACCTTCAAGTCGAAGACTCTGTGTGTGGCCACCTAAGAAAACCACCTGCATCGGTTTGGGCACCCGGCCAGTATCATATCCCTCACACATATCAAACGAGATTTGTGTGGCACATATGTATCTGGTGCCCTTTTGTACCAATATCTATGTGTTCAAAAAAATAAAATCAATAATAAATTGTAACTACCCATGTTATCGATATCGCATATGACATTTAAACAACAAATAAGAATGTTACAGATGTATCAAAATAGAACATTAAATTTGAACTTCTAGATTTTAAAACGTATTTAATTAAGCTAATTCTAACATGCTCTTTTGATCATTAAGTATTGCATTATAAAGTCATAATATTCGTGGCTAAATATGATAAATGTGAACTACAGGGCTGAAATGTAGAGAACTACCACAACAACCATAAAAAAAACACAAGTATTCATAAACAGTTGTCTGCACATTGAGGAAGTGATCGAATTCCATGACGATGCAAGCCTTAACTTGGAATCGTGAGGGAAAACTGTAAAGAGGAAGGCCGAAGAACACGCTTTGTCGAGAATTGGAAGCAAGCGAGAAAAGGATGAATAGCAACTGATAAGAATTGGAAAGGATTGCCCAGGACAGAGTTGGATGGAGAATGCCGGTGAGTGGCTATGCTCCTACACGAGGGGTAGCAGGCGTAAGTAAGTATGTAGGAACTAAGTAACTTATCGGTCAAATGGTTTCCTACTCAAAAATATAAAGATCTCACATTTGGAATCCATCTCGTGTATAGATTTGTCAGATTTTTCGAAGAAATGATTTTAATTCCAGATTATTGTTTACAGTAAAATTTACTCTTCCGTCATGTAAGGGAAATATCTTTTGACTATAAACCTCAATTATACATAGGACATTTTTAAAAATACAGTTACGAATAAATGTACTTCTAATAGGAAAAAACGAAAATGTCTCCTCAGGTGATTTTACGTATAAAAAATATCTTCCAGTGTTTAATTGAATCCAAAAACGTTTATATATTCACGCTAGTGATTTGCTTTCAGTAAAGTTTCTAAAATTCTAGTAAGAAGTCACAATTTATGGAATGAACTTGTTTCCAGAGAAAGTAGATTGCCATTAGTCCTATATACAACTTTACAGTATGTATGTGATCGATCTACATTTAAAATTAAGAACCACTGAATTTTAATTCATCGACCTAAACACAAGATGTTTTCAACATGACATCTGAAGCTCTTAGGTTCTATCATTCAGATGGAGTTGTGGGTGAGCTCAGCTGTTTCCTATGTTTAGAAAAAGTAGTTTTCCAGTGGTCTCTCATTTTTAATGCTAACATAACTAATGTCATTATATATTAGAAAATAATGAAAAATTATTATTCTATTAATTTCTACGTTGAATGTAGCTGATCGATTTTCAAATTTATATTATCTTTCGGTATTGTACATTACATAATACCATGTTATATAAGATCTGTGATTATTGCCAATTCGTCACAAATGTTTGTCTTCAATAAACCGAATGAATTACAATATTTCTTAAGTTAACTCTGTTCAATTTAGAATTCTCAGTGTAAAGTATTTCAACGTGTTTCCATTTCTTATTTCTTGATCGATCCTAACGATAAACATTTAATGGTTACCAGTTAGATGTTAGCAGTTCAGAAATCGATTTCTGAATGATGTAAATTCTTTTCGATGTATACTATTAGCAGCCACGCTGTCTGTGTTTTTGGATTTATTTTTTGTAAATTGTACAGAGAAAGGTCATAAACGTTTAATAAACTCACATAATGATTTGTTAAAACAAACCATAATAGATAAATTGTTGAAATATCTAGGAACATGTAGCCTAGATACTAGAGCCAGCCTCCATCAACTACTTCCAAGTTATTGATACCAATGTAACTTGATTTTATTAAGAAGAGTAAACTAATAAATACGGGAAAATAAACAATACGCCTAAATAGTACTATTGAATGTTGAACATTGCTGAAGAAAATACACAATCATTCATAATAGATAACTTTATCAAACGTTGACTGACTGCCTTTGGCAAAATGTCTAGTCATGAAAAAATTTTCTAACTAACAATGTGGACTGTGTTTACTTAAACTCATTATATCAAGTAGTGGCTATTTGTACACTATATAACTTCATTGTTCTATTAAATTTTGTCAGTTAGCCATCATTTACATTTTATTGAATACTGTGGAGTACGTACGTAATTTTATTTTGTAGCTGGAAGCATAAGTAGTGGATTAAAGTTTATAATAAATAAAAGTCAAGTATATTTAAAATTCAGTTTGATGTAAAATAAATCTGTACTATTTATATGGATAACTATGCCGAACAAAAATGGGAATTAAACCTGTGATATTATAAGCGAAGATGGATAATGGCTAGCAGTGGAATCCAGGACGCGCGTTTCGTCCTATTTAGGACTTGTTAGCTGAATATACCTGCATCTCAAAGTTGATGTTCACTCTGAGACTCGAAACTAGAATAGTCCGTGTCAAATGATATCGCGTTATCTACTTAGCTACTGAACCCTGATAGACATTTGCTTGTGCAATAGATTCCTCTGCTAGCCACTATCCATCTTTGCTTATAATGCTTGTGAATTAAAGCAGTATCGAGGCAATACGCACATTATGCACATATGCCAATAAGAGACATCAATGGGAATATTCAAGTAAGCAATATCTAGTGAACGTTAATTTTATATCCTACAATCTCAACATTGTATTTCTATTGTGATTGATTGAATACAAATTCGTCAACTAGTTGTTCTACACCCTTGTCAAGTTGTACTTTATCGTTAACCAAATAAAACTGTTTCGTTCTGGTATGAACCACTAAGTGGCCCATACACAATATCCCACCTAGGATTGAATCTAGAACATTTGGTCATGAGGTTAATACATATTTGTCAAAATCCACTGAATATTATAGAGTAAATAAACCATATTAGTCGGTATTTCTTTTTATAATCCAGTAGGTATTACGTATTACAGTTTAATAAATAAATGAGAAGTTTTCCCATTCAACTGTCTGTTGTAAATATCTAAATCTTTAAACACTATGAGTTTACCTTTAATTTAAGCGATACTTATTACAGATCCTGTTTCATTTAGACGACCTAACATTTTGAGTAAATATTCGGTCATATGAATCTATCAATTCAGTATGACTTCAAATATTTGTTTCATCAATCAACTAATGAACATTTGTTTGTTTATGTACCCTATGAAATGAGATCAATCCTTCTATTATATCAATGGTATATGAACAATGTGATTGTTTCCACTCTTATCATGGTTGTATCATGAATTGAAATAAATGATATATATAGTTGATACTTCCTTTCAAAACTTGATAATTCCCAATGGTTTATCTGTCAATACTGTCTTACATTTCATTTAGTAAAAAAGAAAAACGAATGATAGATAAGGTCATCAAAGTTTGATGAAGGCATAAAGAACAATGAAAACCTTTGACAGCAAAAAATTTTTTGTCTTGATTTCCAAATTAAATAAATGACTGTAATTTGTTTTTGATAAAGTTTTGTTCAGTGAGCTAGATGGTTTGATCGTGGAGCTTTCATCGTTCTTCTGAACGACATAATCAGCACAAATTTCAGAGAGAGCGTAATATGCTTCTGATTGTTCGAAAATGGGAGAATTTCACCAAAATGGCAGGCTTCCACGCGAGAATAACTGTATTTTCTACCCAGCATGTTCTACCAACAGACTTCTATCTTAAGTTTGTGCTGATGATGTCTTTCAGAAAACTATCAAAACTATATGATCAAACCATCCAGCTCACAGAACAAAACTCCATCAAAATCATTCATTTGGCTACAAATCTTCTCCATCATCTCAATACTGTAATTTGTATTGTCTCTAGATTTAAATCAATAATCATTTTATACTATTAAATTAGTATAATTTATTATGATTAAAAACAAAATAGAACAATATTGATTACAAAGAATGATTCGTCTTAAAAAAGATAAACATAGAAGTAAACAATGGTCGTTGAGCAGAAATGTATCTTTGATTATAGTCAGCATTAAAATGCATTATTCTATTGATGATACTTGATGTATAGTCTTCAGCTATAATGTTCATAACAATTGACATAATTAGCATGATTGTAGAAAGTTTATGAAACTATTTATCATCAATTTGTAGATCAATATTAATTATTGATTTATTTCATTTATTATATATTGATTATATTATAGTATGTTCCAGAGAAGAATTGATCAAGTTATTACAACAGAACAGAATACGGATCAAAGTAATGTAAGTTTCTATTAATATTGCTAGATAGATATTCTCATATATATTTATATATAATTAATATCCTTTGAATTTAGCGGAAGTAAATGTATGTTTTCAGGTGAATCATTGATCATAATACTTGAAACGGAACACAAACAGTTAAGTCACAGTTAATTAAATTATAAGTGACCTACGAGCTAATCTCCGCTAATTATCTATGTTTATTTGTACTCATACTTTGCGTATCAACATATTATCTTGATACATAGTAAATCTATTCATCGTACTATTGGCGTTATCTTTTGTTTCTAATCTTTTGAGGGCTTAAGCCAATAATATAAGCTCGTGATTACTGATAAGTCTTGCTAATTGAACGTTATATTCAGTTCCTAAGCTCTTCTAGTAACCCTCAAGCTAGAACTACACAGCCACCTGAACACGAGAGAAAAGGTGCAAAATATGCGTGGATCACTTTACTACAAAGGTTCATTTTATTATAGAAAGTATAGTATTTTCGATGTCCTTGGGTTTCTCGAAAATTCTAGGATTCTACTAAACATAGTAGCAGTATAGTAACCAGCCAATCAGAAATTCTACATGTAACTTGTCACTTTCTTGATGTTTCTGGCTAAACTTCTACTGAACGCTGTTTGGATAAAATGCTTCCTGAGTATTTCTTGACTTTTGCGAGAAGTTTTCCGGACCATCCCAACAATTATATATCACTCGGGTACATCATATCATTAACTTCACTTATCAATTAACATTCTATTCACTGATTTTGACAGTAAAAAACCGTTGACTCATTGAATGATCAAAAATCTACTCTATAACAATCTCCTAGTTATTCACAATCATGAATGAGACTTTTAGATTTTCTTACAGCATCAAACTCACAAAATGTCAATGCGCATTTATTTGGTACAGAGTTTTGTAGAAAAAAGTTATTGACGATTTGAACTGATAACAATGAGGTTGTATGAAAGGAAAATGACACTAACTCTTTGTCTCTTTTGATGGGGATTATTTTCCCCTTTATTTAGAATTTCATTCCTAATCAAATGAGTTTATTATTTAACATACTGAACAATAGGAAATTCTAGTCCAAAAAAACCCTTTCTTAAGAATTCCATATACAATACTCTTAAGAAATTATCTCAGAGCTTTATCTCGTTAATATGTCAGAAAGAAAAAGATCTTTATAAATATACTGTTGGCATGACAACAGACACAAACATATACTGATTCCTTTCAACATAAATAAGATTTTGTTAACAAAATGATATTGTTCAAGGTAATAAAAAATAGTACTCTTTAGTGGCCTGCGATCCGAATCCAATTAGATCTTATAAATGATCTTTATTGAATGATTCCTATCGAAATATGTATGTCGCCTAACCTCGTATATAATCATCGACTTAAATCGCGTTAGTCAATAACGGAATTAAATAAGCCAAATACGAGAATGAATTTCGAATACATATATTTCATACAATCTTTGATCCAGACAAAATATCGGAGAAGCGAAGAGAAGAGAGTGAAACCAAATAATGCACAGTGGACAAGGCATGTGAGCAACTCCATTCAGTCAAGCGTTAATCAGTAACTATTTATAGTCACGCAAAATTAAACTACAAATATGTGATGAATAATGGATAAGAAGAGCACACATATATGAACTCATATAAAAACAGTCAAGATTAATAAGCGAATAATTAACAAGATCAAAATGTGACTCAACTGGAATGAATTGATTGACCTGTTCGAAAGCTACAATAAGGTATATGGGCTTAATATAATAACCGACACTACAGTCTAAATAATGATTTTATTTGAATTACATTATTTTTCATATGGTCTGTGTATACCAAGTTCTAACCTGCAAACTTATTCAAAGTTTACTATGAATAATATTGTAACCTAATTACTAGAGTTCACGTTGTTTTACGTTCGAATCCTGTCATAACTCATATCTAATTGTAGCTTTATTTATCAATTCTATAAATTAAAAAAACAAACAAACATGTTACTAAATATTCTTATCTTTGATAAACTTGTCAAAAGCCATAAAAAAAACCAACGACGAAAAATGTTGTCGTGAATAATTCAAAGAAAAAGAAAAAAAGAGGATAAATAATGCCATATGTTGAAACAAACTAGCCATCTAACAAAGAATATATAATATATATATATATATAATATTATATATATATATATATATATATATATATATATATATATATATATATAGGCGAATATCCCCTTTGGTACATTTGTGTTTTAGTGACGTAGAAACCTATGGAAAAGTAAAAAAACAAGATCAACAACTTACCATCATCAGTAATGTATAATGTATAGTAACCATTTCGATGGAGTTTTGTTCTCTGAGCTGGATGGTTTAGTCGTTGAGCTTTCATCATTCTTCTGAACGACAACATTAGCAAAAAACGTCAGATAGAAGTTTGTGAAGTTTGTGCCGATGATGTCGTTCGAAAGAATGATGAAAGCTCCACGACTAAACCATCCAGCTCACAGAACAAAACTCCATCAAAATCATCCACCTGAGCTACAAATCTTCTCCACCATCTCAAAAGTATAGTAACCATGATAAAATTAAAGTGATTTTAACCTAACGAAACAAGAATAACAATATTATGATTGTATTGCACAGAAATAGTTTGTAAATTAGTTATGTAAGACTTAACAACTTTTTCTTTTATCCATATGGGTATGAAATGATTATGAAAGAACTTGTCTATTCAAATGATCACATTTTTTTTCTAAAAAAAGAAGCGTTACCTCAAATAACTGGACTCGTGTAGATCATCTGATTGAAAGTGTTAGTCATAAAATTAGACTATTCTTCTTTGAAGATGTTGGGAATGTTAAATTCACAGAACTCATTAGTAAATATCTTGTTTTTCTAATTCTATTTTAAAAATTTGAATTTATTGGTTTCGCTCCAAAGGTGCTGATTTTTGCCTTCAAGTTGTATTTCTCACTTAGGAGTATCTTAAATGCTATTCGTTTATTGTATAATTTGATATGCTGTTTTGTAAAGCTTCCCAAGGACCTTTTTATGTTGTATATATATGCTTGATTTGTGCTTGTTGTTGTTATTGTTGTTCGTGCCTCTGGCTGCTTCTCCTCTCCTGAACTTGAACTTCATTCCCTAGTTAGCGAGGCTTTGACGAGTCGGAATAACTAACTTATCTGACATTGTGTCACTGAGTCTTTGTTCCGTTCTCAGATTAGTTGGACTCGTAATCTCTTTAAACGTAGCAAAAGATAATGTGGTTGAAATAGAATATATTATAACATGACGGTTATCATGAAAAATTTGTCAAAATATATTTATCAGAATATGAAAAATTGGAAAAACCGTGACCCTATCAGCAAGGAAACTCTTTATCTGAAATTAGATTTTAGACAGGATATTACCTGCAACATTTGAACGCATCTACTTGAAAGACTTATTGAAGGACATTTCACTACGCCAAGTTGCATATGATCCTCTCAACTAAACCAGTACTTACACAACAAATGAAGGATAGATTACCTATGATGGTCTCCATATGGATGGGCGAATCCAACTATTCAGAGGGCTTCATCCTTGCTTCCTCGTAGACATGTGACGGTAAAAGTGGAAAAAGATATCATGAAATATTCGTATATCTATATCTATATATAACTATAGGTAGAAAACATTAAGAAATTATTATTCATTACTAAACTAAAGAACCGCCTAAATGTTTGTGAGTAAAGAGTGTCCATTCGTCATACCTTTACATTTCTGTACTTTTGACAATGTTTAGAAAAATAAATAAACTAAAAAATTTAAATTACAGTCCTAAATTCCATCTTCGACAAGTGATCACTTAGTACGTGAAACAGCGAATGTGATGACAATCAGATTTCTCCATTATTTCTGATAAAATACAATATAAATGGATGATAAAATTAAGATAATGATTACAAAATGCATTAATGGTGATTTCGGATAGTTTGTAGAAAATCTTATATTTGTGTTTCATACAGATCGGTACTTGTAAACAAGGAGTATCTATAAACTTGAAAGGATCATTTCTATTTGTACAATAGGAAATTAAATTATTAATTATCATTATCGGTGATGATATTGTTTAGATATTCGTGTCTAGGCTCACTAGTGACTAGCTTTATGAGGGAATTCTCGGAGTTCTAGTGAGAAACCGTGACAAAACGGAGCTAATCCATGTCGGGTAGAGACAGATATCTACCTCAGTACAATGGAAGATGGTAGCGCAGTTTCGTGAATTGGTTGAGGTTGAAGATTAACATCTTTGGATGCCAGTCGGCTCAGTGGTCCAGAGGTTAAGCGTTCGCGCGAGACTGAAGACCCTGGGCTCGATTCTCGGGAGGCAGGATCTTGGATGCATATCATTGAGGAGTCCCACAATAGGCCGTCCAGTACTTCCAGGTTTTCAACGGTTGTCTAACACCAATCGGTTCATAATGTCAATCAAAAACCTATTAATTTCCACAACCCGATACTGATAACTTAGATAATAAACTGAAATGATTTATTTTTCAAAAATATATAAAATTTACAGTTTTTTCTTAAAATTGTAGTTTTATACAATCTTTAAATAAATTATTTATTTTAACCTTGATAGGTTCACGGATCAATAACACATTTACACAAAAATAGTCAAAGTTCTACTTTTCATCCAATACAGGTCTAAATGTCTCATGATTAATAAAGAATGATTGTAGAAAATCAACACCCCCAACAACCCCAACCCCAACCCCAACAACAAAATGCACAAATATATAACCTTTCATTACAGAGAAAACACAAATTTTGTAACTCTAACAATCTACTCAATTTTATTTAAACACTTCAATTCATGTCATTTAAAAGTGTAAAATAATCACTAATACAAAGTTTGTTTCATGTTTTGTTCTTTTTTTTGTTTCTCTTTTTTTGGTTACTAAAAAAGAATAGTTGTAAACCGAATGTTTCTATCCCTATTGAATGTTACTCAGATCCATACAGATAAACGCCGATATATATATATATATATATATATATATATATATATATTTGTATACATGTGTTAACTAGTGATTTCACTTATTACCCTGGGTTCAAGTTTTTATTTTGTTTTGTTTTGTTTCTCCCGATAATTTTACAATCATAGCCAATGGAATATTAGTTCGAATTATGTCATTCAATGTTGATTTTATTTAGTTGTAACGGGTTATTATTTGTTGCTAATTCAAGAAACAAAAAAAATCAATTTTGTTTATTTGTAACCGCTTGTTGTTTTGTTTTTCTTGTTTTTTTGTTGTTGGTTGTTTGTTTGTTTTTATTTTGAAGAAACCTTTTCACGTAAATAGGTATTGATAAATATCAGTGTGAGTTTCAGTAAAACAGAAATTACCGTAATCTCTAAGAGAAAAGAAAAAAAAATAAGAAAAAGAAACGGGATTATTACTAACAAGACATTTCTTGGATCATTTTTTCCCCATAAATAATGAAGTAATAACCCAATAATGATTGGGTTTTGAAATAGATTTTGATTGTTTACCAGTAGTTTGGTAATTTTTAATAAGGATAGAAAAAGAAAAAAACATTATCTAAACTGTGATTTATGTTGATAATGAGATTAGTTTAAGAAAAAATATCATGTAGTTAATGGGTAATTTTGTGGATTGATTGAAGTGAGACATTAACACCGTTAGATGCCAGCCGTCTCAGTGGTCTAGAGGTTAAGCGTTTGAGCACGAGATTGGGATCTCGAGAGGCATGATGGTGGGTGAGCACTGCTGAGGAGTCCTATACCAGGACGAAACGGTCGTCCAGTGCTTCCAGATTTTTCATTGTAGTCTAGCTTCAATTGACTCATAAATTCAACCATTAAAATACTATAATATACACAAAACCCCTCTCTGATTATAATGGAATCATTCTTGTAAAACATTTGAATTGGAAAAATATCTGTTACGTATATTAAATTTCAGAAATATATAATGATCCAAATCATTCTGTTGTCTATTGAGCATATTCTTGTTTTAAGGTATTATGATCGTCAGTTTTGAGATTGTCTATGTCATTTACATACAAAAATATCTTCAGTATGAGGGTGTTGATAATGTGTTTTAAGAAGTTACTTACTTACGCCTGTTACTCCTTGTGGATCAGCATAGGCCGCCCACCAGCACTCTCCATCCAGCTCTGTCCTAAGAAACCCTTTCCAGTTGTTTCCTTCTCAGGTCTGCTTCCAGTTTTCGACACAGTGTATTCTCCGTCCTTCCTCTTTACAGTTTCCCTTCAGGATTCCAAGTTAGGGCTTGCCTTGTGATGTAGTTTGATGATTTTATCAATGTGTGTCTTATCCTTTTCCACCGTCTTTTCTTTATTACCTCTTCAGTTGAAAGCTGGTTTATTCTCTCCCACAAAAGGCTGTTGTTGATGATATCCGTCCAACGGACATTGAGTATCTTGCGTAGACATTTGTTTATAGATATTTGTACCATTTTGATGATGGTTGTAATAGATCTCCTGGTTTCAGTTTCGTACAATAGAATTGTCTAAACGTTCGTATTGAAGATTGTGAGTTTGATATTGGTTGACAGACAGTTGTTTCGAGTTGCACATGTTGTTCAACTGTAGGAATACTTTCCTTGTTTTTACTTAATGCTCTTCTTTACAACTGCGCCTGATCTTCCTCGTTCATTGATGATGCTTTCCAGGTACGTGAAAGTTTCCGTCTGTTTCAGAATTTCTCCATCAAATGTGATTGTGTTGGTGTTATCTGTGTTATATTTGAGGATCTTTTTTAATGAAGGTTTGAAGTCATTTTTTTAAAGAAATACGTTATCATTCTGAAGAATCATTTTAACATGAAAATTGATTATTCAGTCAATCAGAGGACTTTCAAAAAACCAGAAAATAATCAAAATCATCCATTCCCCCCTCTTATTCAATTCTTCATAGTGAATGGTTGAGGGAAAAAATGTAATGTTCATTTTACTCTGAAAGTATATTCCAGTTAACAAGATAGATATTGTGATTATTACCATTTATTCAATTAAAAAGTACATGCCAACAAAGAAATTGTTTCTTATCGAATATAATTGAATGTTTAAATAAATTTTGATAAACAACAATACTTTTTTTAGTAGGTTATCTTCAATAGAAATACACTTGTTATTCACTTAATAACAAAACAAAAAAACTTCCTGTTTCAAAATAGTAAGTGAATAACAAGTTTTAAATGATCGTTGGAGATTAACATAGCTAAATGTGAATGGATATGCTTCGGTGATAGATCACTCAACTTCAATTATGCCATAAATAGTGAAGTGTTATCTAGGTTACATACAGTAGTGGTAGACTTAGTGTGATGTGGGTTCCTTATATCCACATATGACGTTATCCATATATAACAGTGGTCAGGCATAGAATGTATTTCAGTAGAAGATTGATAAGGAAAGAACGGGAACGGAACTCAATTGGTATGAAAATGCATGAACAATGAAATCTGAGACAATGGACTGATATATTTGGAAAAGTAACGATCAAGTTTGAGACGACGGATTGATATTTTGCAAATTAACTATTTAATATATGGTTCTCAGATTTTAGTGAGATGCTCTGCAATTTCGTGCCAAATACATTCGATTGTCCCAACTCGTGTTCTTGTTCACTACATTAGAACTTAGGTACTCCTACGATTTGTCGTCTACAGAACAGATATTGAAACAGATTTTCAAGTCTCGAAAGCTTTATAACAATCAGTCACGTATTCTAATGTACAAAGTTTGTGCTCGACCTCCTCTAGAATATTGCACGTTTATTCTTAGCAGTGCGCTCATAAAGGATAAATTAAGGCTAGAATCAGTACAGAGACGAGTTACACTTAGTATTTTTGAACTGATTGTACCTTGACTTATAACTTCAGATGTAGTAAACTTGGGCTCGACCCTTTATGGAAGAGGAGACTCAAAGTAAGTCTTATCGTTTTCTTCAAAATACTTAATAAACTATCGTTTACATCCAATCAAGTAATTCAATGTGCAGAAACTTCTCACTACGAAATTCGTAACTCCTTGTCACTAGTGAAACAAATTTATTCTAAATCATCTCTCCATATGAATTACTCCGCCTGTAAATTTTCTAGACTCTGGAATAATCTATCACAATCTATCGGTACGATAAAATCACTCCCATTATTTGTTCGTTGCATCAATGTATACTGTTCCTCTGAAAATGCATTAAATGTTCTAGTACCTGTAAGTTTATCTTGTTCCACAAGTGAGATTATAGGAACTTTAAATGTTTAGCCATTCTTCTTACTGAATTCTTTCAGTAAAACCACCTACCTGATGTCACTTTACGTTAACACTGTCTCTAGCACCCTTAATTAATTTGAATAATATCTAACATTAACAGTATATCACTGTGTCACATGACAAATGCATTATGGTAGACTTGATTGACATATTTTGGTAATTATTGCCTTGTTGTTCCGTGCTCTCTGTTTTCGTTTTACTTTCTCCAGTTGTAGATAATTATCAATAATTCATTCTGTCACAGGAAATGATCCTAAATACACCGTTCATAAATTAACAGGCTGTTCACTTAAGATTCCTGTAATACATGTATTACCTAAACAATTACTGAATTAATATACTTAAAACCATCTCATATCACATATTTGTTCTTTAGATCTAATGGTACTATTTATACCAAACTGATAATACCTGTAAACTGGCTTGAATTCTATAATTATTATTTTCAGAATATGTATATGTAATAGTGAATTTGTGACTAACAGTGAAATCCAGAACAGTCATTTCATTCTGGAATACTGTAGTTAGATCCACTTTTTCCCAATGATCAACATGAAAGCTAACTCATAATCAACATCGGATGATTATGACTCCCATCGAGATATCCAATAAAAATAAGGATAGGGAGAAGAAATACTTTTTTTCCTACAAAATCACCATTTATCATTATCAATATAAATATTTCCCAATAGAATAATGTTATCCATAGGAGATCAATTAAATAATCCATAGTTTACACGTTTAATTGATGTACGTTATTGAACATTGAACTTTATTTCTTCATGGAAAACCATCAGGATACATAACCTTGCATACTACAAGGGAAAGCTCATAGAGCCATCTTTATATATATATAAGTAGTAGTTTTCAGTTGTTTTTTTCGTTAATAGAGATTGATGTTAATTTCTTTCGATAAGGGAATATATGCGAATGATTATAAAAAAGACATTTCTAAGAAAATAGGTCATTTGGTCATTAAATAATTAATGAAGAAGAGTTTCCTGTTATGTGGTTTCTTAATCCGTCAGTCAACTGGATAAGTTTTAAAAGATTTCTTCTATATCCTGGTAAGTGATGATTATAAGTTAACATTGTTATAAACGTTTATGTATGAAGATTGTAAATTACTATTTAACCTTAGTATGTAATAGTATCACTAAGTTTGTTGAAAATTTAATAAATCACTTTGCTCTGATTAGCGACTTACTTATAGTTAATCATTTAACTAGTGTAAACAAAAATACACTTTATTAAGTAGTACGTTTCATTGACTAAAACATTGATTTACGATTCTCTGCTACATGTAACGATCTATTTCATTATTCTGTAGAGATTTGGAAGACTCTCCTGGTCTACCAACATTGTACAAGCATTCCATGTAACAAAATTAATGGTTTCTCAGGTTGTCAGAAAGGACATCAGCTTCATGACTTCCGAAGGAACTCGGCTGTCACCATGAGGTGTCATAAATCTTCTAAATGATGACTTTCCAACTGCCAGGCTAGAGTTTAAATAGTTTGAATTATTTTTTTCTGGTTAGCGTTTTTTTAGCGAGTTAGTTTTCCACAGGATGGGGTCGCTAACCCCATACCCAACCCTCCTCCTTTATCCAGGCTTGGGACCGGCAGTAGCCCAAGAAGGGCTCAAGACGGAGTTTCTTTCGTTAACATCAAAAAGTTAATTCACTAGAATTTACAAAATGATTTTC